GAATTTGGCTCTTTCAATGTCATGCACATTCAAAATATGAATTCAATCAATCTTAACACCGAATACCAATCAAAAATTCAACTCGAAAGGGGTCAATGAAAATCAAGAATTCACAAAGAAAAATCGGTTCAGTGTCGAATTATGGGAGGAAAGCATTTCGAAAGCAATACGAGCGTTATTAAAGGAGCGTCTTGAAAATATATAATTCACAACCACCAGATAATATCAGCCCATTGTTTTTTTTTTTTGCCACACCTGTGTTTATGCACATACATAATAATATATCACAGTAGAAAAATTCAATTATTTTTTAGTAGTAATGCGAGACCGGTAAACAATATGCGCATATATGTAGTAAACGTAAAAAAAAGAAAAATCTGAATTCATAATACTAACATGACTGTTTTGTTTTTGAAAATTCCGAATGAGGCTGTTGCCATAAATATTTCAAAACTAAAACCATTCTAAACGCAAATTAAAACATTTCATAAGGAATTCATAGGCCGAATCAATTTCCATGCGTTATTTAATATTTATTAAATGTTTTCATGCTCGTTCAATTTATTGAGCTTATTTCCCATATACGGGGAAAGCAATATTCAATCGAACCGGCAGCAACACCGAATTTTTTTATTGTGCTAATTTCTCTTTTTTTATCAAAGTGAATCTCTAAAATAATAATAATAATGATTTTCTGTGAAAACAAGTTAATAATGAAGGGGGGGGGGAATGCGAATAAATGGCTTCCGGGATTTTTTTTCGATATCGTTCGTCGAGTATTTTTTTAATGTTAGCGAAGCCAATAATCTGAGTTACCCATGCATATTTATAGGAAGCAGCTTAAACTGTCATTGTCGGATTTTATGGGATGGGAAAGGGGAAGAACAAAAAGTTGGTTTGAAAAAAAATATGAGAAATTTGATGAAAGAGAAACACAACCCTGTTTTGAGATAAGTTTAGTACCGCTGGTACAAGAATGAATGAAAAATCGAATTCTTATCAATCAAATTGAAAGAAAACATGCGTTTGTTTCGTGAATTCAAAAAATTGATATGAAATGTTCAATATTATATTTGAATAACTTTTTCATGTCTGCAAATGTGTATTCGAAAATTTAAATTTAATGCCTTTTTAGAATATATCAAGAAAACCATTGTTCTGTAAAAATGGATTATAATCTCAATGGTCCTACTTCAGAACTTTTTGACAGGTTCAAGACCAAAATCTAAATTCTATATATATATTTCGACGAGAATCATTGCATGAATTTCAAACCAAAATCAAATCTGAAAAAAATACCTGAAAAAAAAAACATAAATATTGAAAAAAAATTAACATGTTATTTTTCAAATGAAAAAAAAAACAGTAAAGACGTGAAAAAATTAAGTGATGTTTTGAAGATTATCTCTTAACATAGTTTAAAACTTAAGAAACAGATAAAATTATCAGGAGTCTAAATTTTCATAGCAAAATTCAAATGCTATGTTTTCAAAAATTTACTAATATATTCTCTGATTTATTTTTTAGTTGAATAAATTCTATATGATAGAAACTTACTGGAACATTACCAAATATATATTAGTTTATTCAGCATTTCGTAAGATTAATACGAAACTTTATGTCAAATAAAAAAGAGTTAGTATCTGTTATATATTTCTTGAATTGAAAACTAATCCAAACTATTGAAAAAATAATGCAGAATCTCCTAGTTCTAAGACTTTATGTTAAATGTTGAAGAACTTACATTTTTTCTTTAGCATTTTCTATTTTTAAAGTACTTCGTAATCGTTTTTAAAATTTCACGAATGTCTGCATTATTGAACAATTGAAAAAATTAAAATGTGAACTTATAAATTAAACGTTTCGAAGAGACATACAACTGAATTGTTAAAAATTGCCAAAAGCTTGGTTTTTTTTTAATTAAAAAAAATTTCAATAATTTCTAATAACTGTAATTCATGCGACTGATTTCAGACGAGGACTATTTGAGCTCCTCATATCGATTAATTATTATAACGAGATCAATTATCATTACAATAAAATTATGTAGATAGTGAATAAAGAATAATGAGATTCTATGGTATATTCTTTTATTGTGTTGTAAAAATTTTACCGGAAGTTTGCCCAGCTTTTCCCATCATTCTTTGTTTATACACGCTTTTTGATCATTTTTGATCTCTTATTAGGCGACAATAAATAAAATAAGTTGGCAAAAGACAAAAATGTGATTTGTGAAAATCCAATAAGGGATTTCCTTACAGAACTCAATATAAAATGCATTCGTATTCACACTTTTGCAAGAGATTTGCCAGCCAGTGCAATTGCATTTGGCACCAAGATTTGAAAAGTGAGAAAAAATGGATAGAATATATTCTATCAGAACTGTTTCAAATTACTTATATTGTTACTCTGAACTATATAAAATATATATTAAAATTTTATTAATAATAAACAAGTCCTAAGCTACAAATAGAAAATTGAGCTATTTAAAATAATTAAAATTTTGGGCATTGAAAGAAATGTTTAAAAGTAGTTAGAATTTAGTAAATTGATACAATATTTTTATAGAAAAACAACATGATTAGATTAATTTGATGAACAATGAATGAAATTGTCAAACAGTGTCTTAAATGTGACTGCATATATTGTTTTGTAATTTAGTTAGTCATTGAAGCTAAGTCGCCTATAGAATATTTTTAGCACTTCTAACATACTCTTCAATGAATAAAATTTTATGAAAAAAAAATTAAAAATTTCGCAAAAAAATCTTGAGCATTTTCATTCGATGCTTAATTCCTCTGGAATGAATAAGGATTAGCAAATTACTTTTATATCACTTAAAATATGTAAAATTTAACACCTATATTTATTAAAATCTTAACTAAGAGAAAATAAATAAATAACTCAGTAAAAAAAACATGTGAGCAGATAAAATTATTACCAATCAATTGAAAGCTTATAATTTTTGTATTTTGGATGTTGAAACAATGTGTGAAATGATGTAAAATTTTGCAGAACCCAACTTTAACAAAACCTAGTTTTTTTTTTATTTGTATAGTTCCTCATATTTTAATCATCGAAAAATATTTCAGATATGTTGAATATACCAACGTCATCACCAACGTCAAAATCTGTATTTAGTGTGCATTCCCCATTTCCCACTTTGCTTTGGTGGCCCGCCAAAAAAGCAGCGCATTTACTGGGTATATTTCGACAACTAAATTCAACAACTATTTTATTATCCTCGGTCTATCTTGCTGATGAGAGGCATTCAACAGCACGCCATCGCGTTTCCGATTTGACAGAGTCGTCGTTGTCGTTGTCGCCAACAGACGGCCGCCGCCACATTCGCCCATCTTCTTCTGCTTCTTCTTCTCGCTTTTCCCGCCCCGGCGGCTCGTGAGCCGCATGAGTCAGTTGCGCAGATTGTTCAACTATTTTGCTAGTGACTTATGACGTTTACAAATTTATGGCCCTCTTGTAATATGCTGTAGCTCTGAAGTCTCTGTTTAATTCCGGCTCGAATCCTTGTAGTAGCATTAGCAGGAATTTGAATTCTTGCTTTATATGGAGTTACCATTTCTACTTTAAAAAATATAAAAGGAATTTCGAATAAAAAAACCTTCAATTTCGAAACTATTGATAATATATGTTTGTTATTTTTCAAGTTTAAATCTTGAATAATTTTCATGGTTTTTCCTTGATTTCCTTTCTCTTTTAATTTTTTTGATATCAAACTTCCCTTTTAAAAACTTTCATGTCAATTTTTTCTCGCTTTGTTTCGACATCCTAGATCTCAAAAAAAAACTGATGTTCCCAGTTTTTGTTAGCTCTATCTTTTTTTTGCTTCTCGTTATTTCTATGCATATCGTCGTAAAAAAAGTTATTGTTTTGTAGTCGAAACATGTATGCGAGTTATGATGAGCTCGATGCATCTTTTATTTTCTAGAAAAAAACCCAAAAAAAGATTTATGTGAATTATCGAGAGCCGACAAAAGCGGAGACAAAGATTTTGCACTTTTTTTGCAAGTCGCCGGATATCATCGCTTTTTTTTGTGTGATGTGCAGAATTGAGGAACCAAATCTTATTTCTCTTCTTTGCATCGTCTCGTTCATCATATACGTAAATCTAATCTCCCCGTTTTTATTTACTTCCAAAATTCAGACAATCAGTTATCCATGCCAAAAACAACTATCTTTCAATCCATTCTTTTGGAAAGTTGCCATAAACCCAAAATCGGGCCTATGTTATTTTCGAAATGTGGAAGAGTGAAAGGGTGGGGTCAAAGAAATGTCGGTGTATTTTGAAATGAGAAATACATACATATGCAACTTTGAGATGGTGGTTTCGAAGCGGCGCCAGTCGAGACAACGCTTTTAGTTGCCTGTGTTTGGTGGTGGTGTCTATATGCTCGCCACATATTCTTGGTTGCGTTTTTCCTACTCCCGAGGGCTTGTCCCACGGGACATCCGCCAGAACTCCTTTTTCGCATATACGCGTTTAGTATGTATCACGCTTATCTCTAGACGTTTACTCTAACATTTCGCGAACTTGCGAGAGGAATTCGAGAAGCACAGATGCTGCAATCACGCTTGCTTCTTATGCATGCGATTTGTAAGCGTGAAGAAAAAATTGCTAACATTTTCTGGGATTTTCTAACTCTCTTTTTTTATTTTTAGCTTTTATTAGTGTTAAAGTGTTAGATATATGTTACTGTTTTTATATGCTCATTAATCAACGAGAGTTTTAAAATAATTTTGATGAATTTAAAATGTTTTACTGTAGTTATTATTATTTTCAATGACAGCTAGAAAATTTAATTTGCGTTTTAGTGTGCTATACTTAACGATAAAATAATTAGCAAATTTTGTAATTATATTTTTTCTTGTTCTACCTTTTTAAGTGATGCTCCATTTCAAAATGGATATACTATTTTTCAGATAGTAGATGATATTGCGGGAGTCTAGTTGATATGTAGGATAGTGCCGAAATAGCTGAAATGCGTTGGCTGCTTATACCATTTACTTTATGGTGGCATTCGCATTTGGCATCTTGCACGCGGCATGTTTCACCGTTCGAGCTTACCGTCAATTCCGGATCGATTCGCGGTGAACGATTGGTAGCACAATATTTATTGTAATCGGCAAAAGCATTTAACATTTTTTTCAGTTTATCGACGGGCAAGATTACACGGTATTCAAAGGAATACCGTATGCAATGCCTCCAGTAGGATATCTTCGATTCCAAATGCCGAAAGAGCCCGCAAAATGGCGAGGAGTCATGAATGCGACACAATACAGGTATTCCTTCAATTATCTCATAATTAACAAAACTAGTATAATTTTAGTCCAATGTGTATGCAGAACATTGATGAGACTGATGCCAGTGAGCCTGAGCGATATGTGGCGCATGTCTCCGAAGATTGCCTCTACCTTAATGTATTCTCACCAACTCCGGTATTTCGCTGATATTGAGTCTTGATTCATTGGCTAACTCGGAATATTGCAGTATCAATACACGAACGACACTTATCCGGTGATCGTATTCATTCATGGCGGCCGTTTTCAATCGGGCTCCGGAAGCGACATTCCGCAACGCGCCATACTCACCAACTTTGTGTCACGCAAGGCGAGTTTTTGCACCCAAATTGTTTTTGTTTGTTTGTTTGTCGTCGTACCATGATTTATTCAAGAAAATTTGGATGACGGCTCAAGTGAGAAGTCGAACAAAAAAAGAGTGTCGACAATTGCTTTCGACAAAAAGGATTGAATTGGAAGGGGGGGGGGGGAATCGAATGGCAGGACAATAGCGCAAATTTGCAGGAAATGTCGACATTTCTTGAAACACTCACTGATTTTATTCGTGATGTTGCAACATTTTTCCGCATCACTAACTTAATTCTCGGAAAAAAAGGATGTTCGAAGACTTGCAGAATATCATAGAAAAAATTTAAAGAATTTTCAAGAAGATTGCAAATTTCAAGAAATCCAAGATTGTAGAAAATATTTTTTCTATATAATAATATTAAATAAGTATTTATAATACGTATACGTTAATTTTTGCTAATAGTCAATATTTAGAAAATGCACATTTTATAATTGAAATTTAAAAACTTCTTCTTTCATTTCATTTTCTATATATTTCAGATCGTCTTTGTTACTTTTAATTATCGACTTGGTCCACTTGGTAAACAAAATTTCAAATATTCCTACAGCATTCCATAATTTTTTAGGTTTTGCATCAACGGGTGATAATGTTCTGCCAGGGAATATAGGATTATGGGATCAGATCTGGGCTCTCAAATGGGTCAAGGTAAAGAAAACCCACATTTTTTTACTTTTTTTCTCTAAAATTCAGGCCAATGCTGAAGTATTCGGTGGAGATCCTTCAAATATATTATTGATGGGACATGGAACTGGAGCAGCTTCTGCTTCGCTTCTCGCACTTTCCCCGCGAGCCGAAGGACTGTTTCAGAAAGTTCTACTTATGTCAGGCTCGGCACTTCAACCGGGAATTGTGAGGAATACTCAAGTAAACGCTACCTGGAATATGAACGATAGATTTGGATGCAGGTAATAAATCCGAGGCATTCGAAAAAATGCCTCAATTAATATTGCAGAGCTTTCAACTCTTCCGAGCTTCTTGATTGCGCCAGAAAACGAAGCAAAGAGGAAATCTTTCAATATAGAGTTGTTTTTAATGAATTTGTCATTTAGAGTCATAAAATTTCAGAAACTTAGCTACGATGATTATGAAGAATTTGTTCCAAACGTGGATGGAATTGGAGGAATTTTGCCAGAACCTCCAGAGCAGTTAGCTCTACACCGAAGAAAGACTCCAATAATGATAGGGACTACAAGAGACGAAAGTTCTCTACGGATACGTGGGATCAATATCATAGGCTATCAGCAAATATTGTATTTCAGTTCTACTGAATGAAAAAGAGTTGAATTTATCAGCATTGTCGTGGGAGCAAGGCGAGAAATTGGCGGATAACTTAACCTTAGGATATAAACAGTTCCAAAATCATCGATTAATATCACAAGTAAAACATTTTTAAATATTTCAAACATTAAATCTTAATTTTAAGGGTTGTAAATCCGAGTACGTTTGGACGCAAGTTGATCCCTCATTCCCTGAAACGGTTCTATTCAATTCAATTTTAAAGGCACATTCACAAACGCATTTGTCTTCTCAAAATTGTTGAATATTTTAGATGTATTCCCATTTCTGGTATGATGCTCCCGCTTCTCAATTGGCCACTTATTACCTCAAATACGATCTTCCCGTCTTCCTTTATTCATTTGATCATATTAGCGAAAATTTCTATGATATTGACAGTAAGAAAAATTGTGAAACCATCAGGTATATCAATGATAAGCGAAAATTCAGGAGCATTCCATGGTGTCGACAAATTGCACATTTTCAATGTGACACCACGATTCCTCAACAAGAGAAAGGATATGAACTGGCAATTGGATCAAAGAGTTGTCGAAATTTTCTCGGAACTTGTCGTGAATTTTGCAATATTTGGGTGAATTTGGTAATGTTTGTCAATAATATGCAGCATTTTTAGACAACCTACCCATGAAAACGATGGATTTAATTTTAATTGGACATCAACAACTAGCCATCAATTAAACTATTTGTCAATAACTGATAGTCCAACAATGCAGGTAGTCAGCGAAATGAAATTCCATCGTTTAGTTGATGTAATTAGGTCGGATTCCGCTGGCAAGGTCACGTTTTCTGGAATTGGTACGCCCGATCGTTAGACGCCGTGGACGTGGGAAATATTCAACGAATCGCCCAGCTTGATAGAGACGTTGGTAACTGGCAGTTTGCTACTGCCATGCTCTCATTCTGCTCGATGTTCTTTTTCGCGATCCTCGTCGGCCTTGCCTGCTACTGCACTAGAAAGGAATCCGATGAAGACGAGCTCTAGGCGATATTTCATCAAATACCAAATTCGTGTGATCCCTTATTCCTTATTTTAACTACTATTATTCACTCTCTCTCGATCCCGTCTGACTTCCACACTCATATCCCAATATTTTATAAGACCAACTCTTTCAATTATGCGCCGTTCGATTACCTTCTAACTTTAATTTTCACTCAGACACTCATTGGAACTTCCTAATAGTCACAAAATGCTTTTCTTATTTTAGCTTGATTTAAGAAACTTATCGACATATTATATTTCGTTTATTTGAAGGCTCAATAAATTTGTTCTAAAACGGCATTGCAACATATTAGAAGATCAATAACCCAAATGAACTTCGGGATTGTTGCGCTGTGAGTAGTGAACGTAGTGCTCCTGAATTAACAATCAATATTACGAATTTTGAGAGTAGGATTTTCTACCACATAGTCAGTTCTCTGTGGTGGAACTTCGAACAAGTGTTTGCAGCGGGCATTCAGACAGGCCAACAATATGATGAGAAAGATGCCAGAGCAGAAGATAATGACGAGGTAAGCACTTCTTGCGGACTTTGACGGGGTATTCGAAGCAACACCGGCAGTTGAGAACGAGTATTCAATCTTCACATTGTACACTGGATAAACACTTAAATTCGGATGTTTTAACGGAGCTTTTATACTTTTGACTTTGTCCGTGAAAGTCACGTTTCCATTGATGCCGCTGAAGTGAGTTCCATCATCATCGCGGGTGATTATTTGGACCGGTGACGCGCACTCCGCGAATTCCGCTGAAAGCGATATAAATGTCTATGTCTCTCTAATTAGAGACCAACCAAAAACGAAATTGTTAGTGCCATCGAGCAACTTAACAGAAAGACAACTGACTTCGCACGGAACCTGGAATAGTAATTGATTGTATGAGATTTAGACAATAATGTCTCACCAACGAGTGAATATGATTCTGGCATTGGAAGTCCAATTTATGCTGAACGTGGAGAGAATGGTTGACCTTGCGCGGAGATGCTGCCCAAATGCTTTTCATCGACATCTAAAAATAGCATAGAACTCTTTAATTAATTACATTGACTTTACGAATCTGTCGTCCATGCAAGCGCGGCACAGTTTCGCCTCACTGACAATAGCGGCCGCCGACACGAGAAAAATCCTGCAAAAGTCAATGCAGAATCCAAATTTATAGGGAATGAGAATCCTTACATTTTCCAAATAGTGCTCATTGTATAAGAAATGGACCCTTCTAGTGGAGCCTGAAAATGGTGATTTTAAGATGACGAGATTGTTTTTCGAATGGGCGGGGGCAAATCGGTTATGAATTAGAGCACTATTCATGACGTTCGGTTTTTAATGAGGAGACGTATGAGCTAATGGTGTTGGGTTAGAGCAAAAACGGACTACTAGTGGGTGGCGAATGTCTTCGAGATTGAATGCCATACTAAAATTAATGGATGCGAATGCGGGGAAATCTAAATTAGAGTGAATCGATTGTGCAACCACAAAATCAACAAGAAAAAACTGTAGGGAAACAGCAAGGCTGAAGTTGAATGTGTCATCATTATATGAAAACATAAAATTGATAGTTGTTAGATACGATGAGCTTCTTATATTTATTAGAAAACAACCTACCGGGGCGAAAAAAGAGCAATGTGATATTCTCGAAACCTGCCATAAAAATAAAGGAAAAGGATTTCATATATGAGAGATAGGATACAAATATTCAACAGTACAAAAACAAAAACAAAAACAATGCGGAAAAAAGAGATAACAGAGGAAACTGAATGTTGGTGAATAAGAAATAATCATGTTGAATAACTAGTGGGAGTTTGAATACATTGAAACTTTAATCAAAAAGAAAAATTCTTGCTAAATTTCAATTTTGATGAAGTCGTAGACACTGAAAAATAAGTTCAAAGATGGAAGAGATGTTCTGCCATCAATAAAAGCATTAATTTGTCTTGTCATCGACAAACGGCGAGAATTTTCGAAAATTTCGGATTGAACGCATGACAAAATGGCGCAATTCGGAAGCCTGAAAAATCGCGCGAAATTTGAATGTTCGGCCGCGCGCAAAACATCCCCGGGAAGAAATTGTTACATGCGGAGCTCCATTCGTCGTTCTTCACTCATTGCCAAATCACATTCGTTCGTGTGTAAATTTGTATTTTTTAATACATGTTATGTCCTAACATTACAATTTTTATAGCCGCGGTCTCACTGATTTGTGCAATAACAACACATAAAGAGTTCACACTAGAATATTAGCAGAGGGGGAAGGGTTAAACGGCTGTACGAAATTTTAAAAATTTCATTTTGGCTTCGTCAATTGTATCGAGGAAATGAAAAGTTTACATTTTTTAAATTATACTTTGTCAACGAATAAATTTACCGTCACCTAATTCAACATTGAATAGGAGGGCCCTGTCTCCGACAATATGATTAATACATCGTTTTACATAATTAGAAAAATGAAAAATAGATGTAACAGCGATTTATTCGAAAGATTGGAAGACATTATATTGTAGTTCTTTTATTGCGATGAATTATTTATTATTGGAGATCCTCATCAGGAAGTGAGCGTCTGGTCGACATGAATCGAACTCCCTCGCTCCGGTTGAAAGTCGCGGCGGCGGCGGAGACGTTCTTAATATTTCAAATGACTCGAGGAATAAGCGATGATGAGTCTCACTTGTTGCTCTCGCTGGCAGCTCAAAATGTTCATAATGTCATTCTTACAGTAAATAATCATGAGCAGAAATCCAAGAATGCCAAGTGCGGAGGTCAACAGAATCACTTCATACCAGGGACTGTTATAGTTCTTAATGCGAACCGAAGCTGTTAAGAAGGTCACCTCGAGTTTTTGGTCTAAAAACTGATGGCTTCAATAATGAAGCATATTTGAATTAATCACCTCCAAGAGTCTTATTGTAACTAGCATTTCCCAAAAAGTTGGTCAGATTTCTTTTACGATCTACCATGCTAAGATCAATGCCGGTGGCACAATCTTTATACTCTGAAATTTCTACTCCAATTTCCATTTATTTTTATGCGTTTTCTATTACGACTATAGGTGTTGCGGACTGTTCGAATCATGATAATGCACGCGTGGTAGCACTTAACAACTTTTGGTGGCGACATGTGGCAGAACGGAACGGTCGCATTTTCCGAAAACTTTCGAATTGGTGGTACCGGACGATAAAAAAAATAAGCATAGTTTTCCTAAAATGACATTTTGTCTTAAGTTCATATAAGATGTGCTCACAAAGTCCAAATCAAGGCACTGGTGGCAGTAGCGATATGGAATTAATAAGGTTTGACCCATGTGGAGTCCGACAAAGCACATTATAATCCTGAAGGCAAACTTTGTGTCTTTGGTATCATATTTATGGGACTTACAAGATGACAACTTTCATTTTTGAAATTGGCAGACTGAAATTAATTTTTTATAAATTAAATTGAAACGTTAAGTGAATTTCGAAATAAGAAAAAAATGACAAATGCATAACGACTATTTCATTTTTTGTCTCCTTCCAAAAAATGAGTGATGGTTATTTTGTTCATCGAAATGTAATCGATTAATCGTAAAATCATTTATTTCCTAGGACTGCTTCGCCGAGTGCAAATAAATGAAGGGCTACCGAAACGAAAAGGAAATGAAGTGATTGAGAATGGGAGGGGCGGGAATCGTTCATCGCGTCCGATGTACAATTGGGAGAAGGAGGAATGGCAGTCGAGACCAATGACTGGTTGATGGGCGGTGAAAAACATGAGCTAAATTTTTCTGGCGCCTCATAAAAATGAAAGTGGTCTGGAGTAAGAAAATCACACGTCGACCAATTTGTCATATATACATCTCGAGCCGAATGGGTGGCATGAAAATTAACGCATCTGCCTCAAATCTGAATTGAAGTGTCACTGCAAATAACGTGAGGTTGAGGAGCTGGCGACTCTCTACAGACGAATACAAATTTAATTAAATTTTGGATAAATAATGTCATTGAAATGGTTTTCTAAGCTAAAATATTGGCCATTTCCTATGTGTTACGGAAGACATAATGTGCCACCTTTTTCTTGGGTGTGAGCGAAGAATATTCAAATCTTTTCTTTGAGGAAGCACATCAAGTTAACTATGTGTGCACCTTGGATACCATGCATAGTTACCGCGAGAAAATTATAACCTTGAGATTGCTTGACCATTCCACTTGTTTTTATGGTAGTACAATTCTAGATAGGTTCGATGTGACCGAAACGATTTTTTGTGGAATTTCGAATTTTCTCAATTTTTTGCGAGGGGTCTCTGGAAGAACTCTAAATTTCCATATGTCATCGAAGATATAATTAAAAAATAAATAAAATTCATAGAAATATTCTGAGATAGTTTTATTAACCATTACGAGTTGGCTGTAATGAAATATTTTTTAAATTTTTGGCTTTAAAATGTATTTTAGAATTTCTTTGATTTTAAAATCGACTCAGTACCAATTGATGTCCGGAAAATTAATAGTGTTCGTCAAATCAGTAACTTGTCAATCATGAGCGGACTAACAATCAGGTAGACTCACTTATTGGTGTTAATTTATTTGAGGGAACGCCGACAAACGTGTCGGAGGAAGTAACTTGTACTGATTTACGAGCTGGCAATCGGTACTATCCAATCCTACAGACCCAGCCGTTTTCGCACATTGCGATGATTTATTACTAAGTCTACCCGTGCTTTCCAAAAACAATCTTATCAGCTCAATTTAAACCAATATACAGATATTAATATCTACAGAAAATTGATTAACAATCTTGGATATCAGGTATAACTACTGAAAGAAAATGAAAGTCTTAAAATGTTTAATGTATCGAAGAACACGAAATTCCTTATGATAAGGTGCGAGACCCTAGCGACAGACGTATGCTCGTAAATCGACCCTCCACGCATTATTCGCATCAAACATTTTTGATTTCAAAATTAATGCCGAATATCAGAGCAAAATTTTCTTAGCAAAGTACTCGAACAGTGATAAGGCGAAATTACTGTCGAAAAAAACTCGAATGAATGTCATGTCATTTTCGTCGTTTTTTTTTATTTTGATAATAAAATGTATTCTTTTCACTCCAACATGACGCACAAATACAAATCTTGACATTTCTAAGCGTACCGTACCTGCCAAAAAGAGGCGTGCCGCTAGTAACTCACCCTCTGATTGGTGACAAGGTGCGAAATTCTGTGCCTCCCTTTGGCAAGTGCTACCTCATTTTTTGTGCTAGCTACACCGTACATGCCATTAGCGAGTCATTCGTGCAGATTTCAGCCGTCCCTGCATGTCGCCAATCCCATCCGCAATGTCTACCACAAAGATGTCCTCGCGCTCCCTCAGTTCCAGATTTTTGGTCAAAAGAATGAGGAGAAATTGTCGATCAGACTCTGAACCAATCCGTCGCGTCCTGAAGTATAAAAAAGACGTTCCCGTAAGTATTTCTTTATTATTTATTTTTATCGGAAATAATATTTCTGTAAATTGCAGATATTAGAGAGAGTACCGTGTTCAAGCTTTCCTCATGACAAGTTCAATTTCAATAGAACGTACAGCAATTATTCGTTGTTTAAATTCCGTATAATCAAGGATGCCAGAGTAACGCCATTCAAAGCGGTATATCCGTTATTATTATTAAAATGGTGTTTTCAATTTTTTTTTTTCAGTACCTCCGATTTTCCCGAAAATCTAAATCATATTCACATCCGTCAATGACAAAATATCAAAAATACATTGTAAGTCAACTAACTTATATATATATTCTTTCTGATTTCAATTATTGCAGAAAAGCGGAGATTGTTATATAAACAAGTTCAATTTCTGCTTCGCTTGGCTCCTACATTCCGCATGCCCTTCGCGCAATGATCACCGGCTCAACGTGAATAGAAATAAAGCAGGCGTTGCCATGTGCAAGAACATTTTCGGACACGATGTTCCAGTATTTGTTACCCCTTTGCCGTTTCCGATGAAATTTACCCAAATTAAATACCATCCAGACTACCTTGATGGTTATTTTGATTCTCAATATGTGTATCGTCCAAGCAAGCAGCCTGGCATGCCATTCCACATTAACTCTCCACCATTCCTTTTAAAGGCAAAAAAACTCGAACTTCACCCTGACTATATCAGTGGATTCTTTGATTCCAAATTTGTCTATCGTCCATTCTAGGTTGTTTTTTCCATTTTTTAATATTTTGATCATCTACGTTTTCTACACGAATGTAATGCATTATATCCAACAATCAATTTTTTTCACTTACGCTTCAAGCATTTAATACTATTAACGAGATCGTGTCTTTCATTGTACCTTGTTTCCATAATAAATCTGGCAAATCAATTATGACTACACAGAATAAACGAATTTTTATCAAAACGTTATTTTATTTATTATTAAAAATCCAAATTCATTGGTTGTGCTTCGGTTTGAACAATATGAAATGCCGAGGTTTTCTCATAATGTTGTGAATATACAACTGCTTTTTTCTCAATATAAAGAAAATCCGACTTTCAGCATTTGCAACAATTATCTTTTTTTGATAACTCCCTTGGGTTAACACTTACACAAATTGATGAGTAACTGTCAATCATGATCATGTGGACTCAATTATTGGTGTTAATTTATTTGAGGGGACGCCGACAAAAACTGTCGGAGGTAGTAACTTGTACTGATTTACGAGCTGGCAATCGGTACTATCCATGTATATTGTTCAATGGAATCATAAATATTTAGTAACTACTAAGGTTTTCAGATTGCATTAAATATTTTTTGTCCACACAGACAGTTTCCATGAAGTCTTTATTAAAGATTGCAATTTTAATTTCAACGATTTAGCTTGTCTCCCACCCTTATAATAGAACCTCAAATTATTTAATTTTGGTTTCACTTAGCGAAAACAAATCAATTTTAGCAAAATACTCATTTATTGTTTGAAGAAAGTACAAAAACGAAAAGAAAACAGTGAGTATCTCAGACATAGTGGTTTAAAGTTACACGCTAAAACTCGTCGACAAAATTAGTACTCATACAACAGTCGGTTTTCCAAACTCCGCGAAAGAAACCTCGCCCTTTTCTCTGGTCAGTATTGGCTTCAAATGGGTCACAAAACTATTAAAATTGTTCTCAACGTTTTCCTGAAAAAGTTTAAAATAGGATGGTGTTGATGACAAATGAAACTTACTTGATACTCCTTTTGGTCCTCTGCAATCAATTGGCGTAGAAGCTGAATGGCTTCGCTCGCTTGATATTGCAAATGTCTGAACGATAATCTCAGTTTATTTTGCAGACGATCCATTGGTTTTCCGTGCTCATCTGTCATCGCATTTGCAAGAAACACATTTGCAATCTAAAATTTGAACACTTCGTCTCAATCTAGTCGATTTTCTATTTTACCTCCAAGGGGCCTTGATTCACAGTTGTTCCTATCGAGCCTTGAACAAGCATTGAGAGCATCTTTGGGTTTTTGTGCTGAATTGCTGCGGCAAGCTCTCTATAAGTGAAAGTTTAAATAATCATTCAGAATAATTATCACTGCTAACCTTGTCTTGCGTTCAATATCCTCAATGGCAACTTCGATTGGCGAAAAGTTCACAACTTCGCGGTTTATTACACGGAGTCTTGTTTTTATGTAAGGGAATCTGAAAACTTTACATTGAAAAAACAAATAAAACGATTACTTACGAATTCTCTGTGGTAAGAATTGTTCTCTTCTTGTATTGCGATGATAGATCACCTTGAGCCCGTCCTTCCATAGTATATGGGGTCTCGAAGAAAAATCTAAAAGTAGAAACGGTATAATGATTCGTTAAATTTGATAAGTGAAAATGTCTTACCTATTTACATTATTTCTTCGATCAAAATATGTCGATCGTTCCATTTTCTCATCAATTGAGAGATAGACGTCGACGAATGTGATTTGAATGTAAGCTTTCTCCGGATTCAATTGGGAAACATCCACTGGTCGTGAATCCTTTAGTACGATCACATTTCCTTCGCCAAACATTCCCGTGTAGAAAGTTTCCAATCGATTGCTGATTTCATTTAGCTTCGAAAATGCAGATTCCTTAATAGAAAAATTGTTTAGTGCGTTTCATTAAGCTGAATACCTTATAAACAAACTCCTGGTCACGTAACTCTTTAAACAACTTTCCATAAAATGCTACACGGAAGAATGTACCAAAACAGCGTTTATCAGTTCTAAAAAATAATTTTTCTCTTCTCGAAATCAATTTTTAAATTATTTTGAAAATCAATTAATCAACTCACCCTGGTAATGGTGAAACCCACGCATCCGCTTGGTGTTCATGGAATTCACTGGTTTCTTTAATTTGGTCTGCTGCATGGCTCAATCTTTTGTGGATATAGGATGCACGCGAATAACTTTTTGCTGCATGACAATAATTCAGAAGAATCTAAATCAATGGTTGATTCGAGTAATAAAAAAGTAGAATTACTTTCGAGAACGGGAAGAGCAGCTCGAATAGTTGTGCCTTTTCAAGGAGTGAAAAGGTCTTTTCCAAAATTTTAAGCAATCCTGTTTCCGTGAAATGATATGACTGAATATGGTTTTCAACTTCGGAGCTGAAATTTTAGCAGAATTATTATATAATCAAGCTAAAAATATCGTTACTTTTTCACAGAGCTGAAGTTCACTTTTGATTCTTTTACTACATTTGGAGTAATTTCAAGAAAAGTTGATGCTCCATAAGATTGAAACCGCAAGTTTTGATTACGTTGATCTATAATTGCAATTATTTACAAATTATGAGCATTTATTTCTCTTACCGATGTATTCAAATACCAAAGCACACGCTTGAAGATAACTGTGAGCCGCTTCACAAAGATTTCTCTGTTTCTCGTGACGTTCGGCCATGTTCAGTAACCATGTGATTCTGAAATTATTTCAACGCTTTAGACTCGAATTAAAAGTGCTTACCTCAAGTCTGGATTGTTTGAATACCCTTCTACCAATTGATTCATCAAGTCAATTGTCATTTCGTAATCATTCACATGCTCACGCATTCGTACAGTGCTCAGCATAATTTTTTGCAAGTTCGCAGTCAACTCTTTCATCTGAATAGGGTAGATTATAGCGATAAAAAAGAAAATGACACACCTGTTCAATCAATTTTTTCTTCGACGCCTCGTCAAATGTGTCATCTTCAAACGCCAATTGATTTGCAATCTTCAAATTGTGACGTTTTACTTATTATTTTCAATTTTTTGGTACCTCGAGGCTTTTGCACATGTACTCGTCATTAACTGAAATATTTACATCGCAACTTCCTGATAGTAATGTCGACAGCGCTGTCGACAAGAATGTTCTTGCTCTTGTCAAATTCTTGTAAAGCTTGAAATTTTCTCGCATAAAATGATATAAGCTAACAGTGGCCTGTAAATATTTTCAATTACTTAACATATTTTCATATAATGGTCACACCATTATTCGCACATTATCGATTTTTGTGGATGAACAATGTCTCAAAATTTGCTGAGAAAGTTCAGCGCAGAATTCCGGCTTTTGTTCAAGTATCAATGATGGGAATTTTGCGAAGAATGACTGTTGTGCGGCGAACAGAATTTCAAGAACCTGATCCGACACGTTGCATGAAAGGCCGTGCATCTGAAAATCACTGTAATGAAAAAAAGGACAAGTGGGAATATAAAAATAATACAATAATTGGGAACATCATTGGCAGGAGATGAAGAGCTTGTGCGTTTTTCGGATCCGTTGTGGTTTGAATGATGGTCTCAATTATTTCGACAACGCATAAGAATATTTCGCAAGACAAGATTGCATCATTTGAAGCGTTATCCTCAAGAATTGCTGAAAATATTGTATGGAATATTTCATTTAAGATCATTATTGCTTCGTTTTTTTACCGGTTTCGGGACGCGAGTCACACGTCTCAGTGCTTTTCGTCTCTCTCCATTTGACTCCAGCTGCCGGTGGCTCCTCGTCATGTCTCTCCAATGAGTGCTGCTGCATAGAGATCTGATATATTTTTGTTATTAAATGCAGAAATTTTATGAAACTGATTTCGTGTGCTCTTGATGAATATTATCACTTTCTACATTCTACAAGCTTGATAATCATCCATCGGCTAGAAGGATTTCTGTTAAAATCCTATTCATTTTCTAAGAAATTTTTCACTGATCTACTGCGTATTACAAAATTCCGAACAAATTGCGTAATATTATCAATAAAAATATAAAACAAACTTTTCTCGTAGCAACCTCTTCTTTAATTTCGAATGTCGTCATTGTATAGTAAAGAACATGCAAAAGTTTGAGCATGTATTCCTCACTCAACGAAACTATCCAGTTTTTCAAATCGGTAGTCGAGACGCGCTTGAGAACCCAAAACATTGCACAAAGCAACTGTAATAAAAATATCAATAAGTGTTTTTCTTTAATCATCAAACCGTTTTAGTCATTGGGGCGTCAAGCTGAAGTTTTGAAAGGCTTGGGTCCGGACTGTTGCGAAGTCTTCCGGAAATTGCACACATTACATCATGCTTCATGGTTGCTTCCAGAAACGACAAGTTGGATCTGCAAGATATAAGTCAATCGGTATTATATTTCAATGCTTACGATCCATCGGAAGAATTTCTAACCGATCCCGAATGGAAGCACTCAATATTGTCCAATACAATAATCACAAGTGGCTTGTATATGTGTGCAACTTGAGCACTTGAATCACTTTCAGATATTCTGTTGTCAAGTTCATGCGATTGTAGCAGCTCTTTAATTGTTTCAATTGCTCTGAAAAATAGTTAGATAATCAAAAATAATAAAAATGTCTAACTTTGCACACAATGCAACATTTCCAGAATTTATAGAATCTTGAAGATCAGTCAATACTTGACCCGAGAGATAATGAGTTGATCTTGAAGCATCCGTCAAGTTCCAATTCACTGGACCAATTCTACAACAATTAAGGGTTATTAAAAAAGAAAAAGCTTCTAATTGTTCGTTTTACTTCTAATAGTGATTTAAGAAAAACATACTTTGTTGATTTAGAACCTAATGATGACTTTGGCGGTGTGGCAGTGGTTGAAGACTCATTTTCAACTTCATTTAATATGTTAATCACCAAATAATGCTCATATGTAGCAATTATGCGGATAAAATCGAGTTTGATCGCCAATAACTCATTGTTTGTTGTTGATCTCCTGTAAAAAATTATAACATTTACTGATCCCGTATATTTTTTAAACTTACTTCATATTTTCCGAGAATGCCATTAAATAGTTGTGAATTCTTCTCATAACAAACGATCGATCAATAATTGAGAAGCAATCCCGCAAAAAGTATGCAAGAGCATTTGACACTGAGCGAGCTTCTTCGAAATCCGTTGTGCTTCGATTTATAATCTCTTGAGTGAGCATCGCGCAGAGAGTTTCGACATTTTTCAAGAAGTTTTCACCAAACCGAATTTTTCTCGATGAGAACATTCTTCCAGTCATCGTTAAGTATTCAGTGCATGCTTTCAGCTAAAGCGAATTATTTAAAATTCAATCTTTAAAAATAATGTTGAATTACCAATGTTTCTAAGAAAAACCATGCATGAACAATGGAAATCTCTCTAGCAGTTCCCTTGGCTTTGAGCCAAATTTCAATTAGTGTCTCGTTTAGACGAACATTGGTGATTGTAGTATTTACAGATCCATGGCTGCTACGTTCAACATGCTCTGAAATTCAAATTTTAATTTTTTTTTTTTGTTTTCAAGGTTTCATTACCAATCATACTGTTCAGCATGTTTGATTCTGTCGGTGTTGACTTCAATTCCACAGGTCGAAGACTTGAATGCGGTTTCGATTCTGAAGTGTAATTTTGAAAATATTCAAATATCAAAGCCAACCTTGTGATGCAAGTTTTCTATATTTAATAAATGACGCCAACAGCATGCTTCTTGAATGAGCATCAACGTCAGAGTCCAGCATTCTCGAAAATAATTTTACAAGATGTCCAATGCATTCAAATGCCTTTGCAGAAACTTCATCTAAAATTGGAGTTATTAATAATTTTCTTTTTTTTTTCACCGGAATATGGCGGATTGGCAATAAGGAAGAGTAGTCGACTCATTATGAAATGAATGAACGCAATAAGGCGATCTGGAGCAGCTTTCAGCAAATTCTGAATAAGTCGAGTATTTCAGAAATTTACAGTGTATTTTATTTTACCTCGATTGAATGAATCAAGGTTGCCTCATTGACAGGAGGATTTTTGGGATTATTTGAGCTCAAACTTGCAACATTTGTGAAGAATTCGACAAGATGATCATCTTGAGCATGAACACTCGATATCACTTTCAATGTGACATTAAAAATCGGCCGGTGATTGTCGATCCATTTGAGACTTGGTAGAGCGTTGCTTGAATCAAGGTATCCATATGGAACCGGAGGTTTCTGTCCGCAAACCGGCAATTGAAAATCGCCGCTTTTGATTTTCCCATTTCGATATAATGGAATCCATGAATACCCAACTGGAACTTCAGTGGAATCGGAATTTCCATCTTTACAGGAAATATGATAAACGGAAAAGAGTAAATGATGCCCATCATCCAAATCGCAAGGCAGTTCCAATTTGATTTCATCGGTGAAATTTGGATTTCGATTGTGATAAATCACACTAGTGCATTCCGACGTTTTGAGATCGTTGTTACCGAAAGCACCTTTTTCAAAAATATTTGCTTGCGGATTCTCTTTGGCATCCATCAGCTCAATTTTGATCATTATATTTCTCGCGTTTCCCGTTCTATTTGATAAGTTTATATTCTTCGGATAAACGTACATGATGTTTCTGAAAAATTTGTGGAATTAAAAAATAATAATTTCGAAGTGATAGGCTTACTTATAAGATTTGTACAAAGACACCCTCGATTTCGAAATTTCTTGAGCATCGTGAATTAGCGAATCGCTGTTCAAGGTTGTGGTGCTTCCATGATTCAAGTACTCCTTACTTTTGTTTGCGCCTTGAGAAAAAATTTATAATATAAAAAATTGCATAATAAACTAACCTGCAACTGTAAGCTCCATGTCCAAATTGAACATCTTCTTGCTAACTTTCCCATTGGTTCGCCTCACGTCACTGCACAATCGATAAATGTCTTCCTCAGAAAGTTTATCGTTTTCCTGGAAAAAAACCAAAATTATATACACTTAATAATTAGTAAAACCTGTCTAAAAAATGTAGTAAATTTTAAGCTGCAAGATGGCATGTTATCAAGACAATCAGGAATTTCTGGTTTGAAATCGTGTAACTGCTCCGATTCTGTAATTTTCATTCAGTTGAAGTATCATCGCTTCATTGTTTTCATACTAAAATTGAATTTCCGTTTTGAAAGCGGCGTTCGAACTCGACTCAACACGGTAGCTGCGGAAGTTCCACTACCAAATCGGCGCAATGTGGATCCCATTGACACAATCGACGACCTATCAGCACTAGTAATACTGCAGCGGTCTTCCGGAATTTGACCGTTCGCTAATAATACAAATTATTCAAGTTATTTGCAATAAAATCTCTTACTAAATAATGTGACTCCGGAATTCATAGTGCACGCTGATGTGATCATTGGATCAGTTTTTCTATCCCCGTAGTTTGTCGGTTGCACGTTAGCGTTAAAAATTTTTTGAATATCGACTATTTGATAACCAAGCGGTGTTCGATAAGCTCCTTAAATCAATTGCTTCCGATAAATATTGCATTTCGGTGGGACATACCTAGTCTTTGGCAGAAATCCTCGGCGCTTGATTTCAATTTCTCAACATTCTTCTCTTCTCTCGTCCCAGTATACGGCTCGCTTCCATCAAAAACATCCGATTGTTGCAAAACCTTCTCAATCTTGATAACCAAGAACATGTCAATCACTGGCCCGGAAACATTGAAAAGAGCTTGCAAATTTCTAAATAAGCCATTATATTGTTATGCTTGAATTGTATCATCATGTCTTACGAATTGACGTATTTTGGTTGATGCTTCCCTAGCATGTCCAGCTTGTCATTATCAACAATACTGAAGTGAACCGATTCTGTCACTTTCATTTTCTGGCGAATATCGTAGATAGCCATGGATACAAATAGCGGTTCGAAGAATGGTTCTACATTTATCTGAAAGCTTTTGCACTATAAATTGTTGGAAGAAATTTTTTTAAAACCTTTTCGACTTTTACGAAAAGTCTTGGTCTCTCCTCTTCTTCCGGCAAATGTGGAATCGCTCGCTTTTCAAGCTGTGTATCCTTATTATCATTGCTAACGCAGTTCATAATGTGTTTAACACGGTTTTTCGCAAGAAGTGAGTTCAAAAGGCTGTTTTTGTCAATTGACGATGTTTTCAGCATAGAAACTGAAAATGAATATCTATTTATATCATTTTTTTTTTTAGAAATGAGTTGTTACTGTAATATTTTTCGTCGCCTTGCTTTGCAGCTTCAAATGCGTCGTACGTGCATCCTTCCAATGAGATTGTGCTAGGCACTCTGTCCATTATTTTCAATCCACTGTTGAAAACTTGTGGGCGTAGATGGCGAAGTGCTGTGAGTTTTTCCAAATCCCATCGCAGTTTGATATCCTCGGTGCTGTACTGAGCGTGCCTAAAATGAAAATTTCAAATTTCACACGAAAAAGAAAATCTAAAGCATACTTTCTATTAACCAAAGAGAAATCATCGCAGTAAAACGAGCAAATATCGCGAACATGATTCTCAATGCTGAAAAATGACTTGAAACGTGTTATCCGCAAACAAATTTACTTTTGAAAAGTGGTATAGTTATGCTCTGTGAATCGATCTTGCCGTACCGTTTTGATTTCAACGTCGTCCGCAACATACTCAAAAATTCTGAAATTTTTCAATTAACTCCTTATTTGGAAATGTCCTCTTACGGTTTACTCGTTTTTGGTGAAGATATTGAGTAAAGCAGACAAGTTTTCCTTTGCTCTAGAATACTTTCAATATCGATTGGCGAAACCGGCTCAGTGTAAGACACCTAAAAATCAAGACATACATATCTCATCGATTGAAGCTATTTTATAAAAGTACCTTCGAAACAATTGACAAATCCATGTCGAACCCATTTTCGGCATCATTGAGCTTGTGAATTGGCAACAATCCGCTGACAACATGACGACGTATTTCAGACGCCGTGACTCTTAACAAATTTCTATGAATATGGTACGAATACGTGAACACACTTGCAACGCTTTTTAACGAAAGCCCGTTTTGTGTTGTCCGTTGATCTCATCGACATTTTTATGCAACCATTTGACTGAAAAATATGTTTTAAAATGGTAATTTAGCACAAAGACAATAAATTAAATCGTACACTCGAGCTTTTTTGTAAGAAAAGAGCGTGCGTTGTAAGAGGCGCAGTAATTTCTCAATGGAGCGCGATTGGCGCTTCAAAACAAATACGCTATTTATTCGATAAGGAATGGTTTTATAAGACCCTAAAAAGGAACCTAAGGGACAAAGGCAAATAAATTATTAATAAATACGTATCAAATAGTAATTATCAACATGCTACCATGTGTTGAAATTTGCAATTAAAAAAAATATATATATATGTAAATAAGGAAAATTAGTAAAGAAATTTAATCCATTTTTAATAATGCTAAAAATTGTTTGTTCTATTGTTTCAAGAGAATACAATGCCCAGGAAAACTTATATATTTTAACAAATTCAGAGTTTTTTTGGAGTGATTTTTTAGAGAGAGAGATTTTTCCCATGAGAATTGTTGTTTCCTTGAGTTCGGCTTATTTTTTTGTTGAAAATTTCAAAAATATGTGAAATTGAATTTACCTTCAATCTACTAAACACTCATTCAATTAAAATGCGCTGGAAATTATAATCAGAAGAGAAAATGATGAGTGAACAGTATTATTGGCGCACATAGAATGCAATAGGGCGAAACCCCGAAAACGTCCACACATCTGCATATAGATGTAATATGCCTCGCAGATGGACAGGTGTATAATGCAAGATCGCGGGCCTTCCATAAGACCCCGTAGCCAATTTTTGGGATCCCTAGCATTTGTTAGGGATATAAACGTTTATAATAAAATTTAAAAATGCGAAAAACGTCCGTTAGTTTGAAAATGAATAACTGGTGTTGCGACTTATTGAGAGAAGAGCTCTGGGCAAATCAATTTTATTCCATACTATTCGAAAAAAAAATTCATGTTACGACTACGTATCAATATTATATTGAGAGAAGTTTTAATAAAGGCAATGAACATAATTTAATTTGAGTGAAAAAAAAATTATGAAAAAAATGCAAAAAACAGACAAAAAAGTTATTTTTAGAAAAGGCTTCATCGTAATTCGATCAAAAATTTTTGCGAAATTGATGATTTAATTATTGTAATCGAATTAGAATAAACGGTATAAAATCGGAGACAAAAACTGTATTTGTATCGTTTGTTGTAAGCCGGGAGAAGTTTTCAACAATGTAAGTCTTCTTATTTCCTTCTTAGACGTTTTATCTGTAAATTTTCAGGATGGTTATCTTTCTACTCTTCATGTGTGTTCTCAATGTGGCTGCCAATCAAAAACCGAGTACTTCTGAATTTGGTTCGGAGCATCTCATATGCAAACATTTATTCGACGAAGATACTTTCATGCAATTTTCATTGGGTAAGACAAAATTCATTCAAATGAAACCTAATATTCGATACTCTTTTTAGGAAGCATTAATGAACCTAATATTACTCACTTGACATCAACTCGTTCAAACTCAAAACCGCTCAAAACGGTGCAGTTGGAAAATTTGAATCTCCGTTCGGTTCAATTTGATGGCAGGCCAACGCCACCTCCAACTCGCCCGAAGCCTGATCCTGTAAAGGATTGTCGACTGTATTCTCATTCCAAGGATCCAAGAAAAAAAGGCTGGATATTAGATGGCCGGCCAACGCCACCTCCAACTCGCCCGAAGCCTGATCCTGTAAAGGATTGTCGACTGTATTCTCATTCCAAGGATCCAAGAAAAAAAGGCTGGATATTAGATGGCCGGCCAACGCCACCTCCAACTCGCCCGAAGCCTGATCCGGTGAAGGATTGCCGACTGTATTCAAAAAATCCGAGTAATTATCGCAAAATATCGATAAAATAATTTTATACAAATTTCTAATGAATAAAGCAGTTCAATACAATGCTTCATGTGCTTTAAACGCAATTGACTGTGTCATTGGAAATATTATTTCAAATAAGAATAGCATGAAACATCAGTGCCTTTTTCTTTTAAAGCTAACTATTCCTATGTGGAAACACGTGAATATAGAAGTAACAAATTGTACAAAAGTTGGATTGTTTAACTTACCTATTATAACAATCCAGATATATACGATATCAACATATTGTGTCAATTTATCTTTACTATTTGTCGTATGCATAAAATTGTTTTCTTTTAAGTGTGCAAATGCGCTCTATCCTAATTATGCGTCGATCGGGAATTGTAGTTCTTACAAAAGTCAAACAATCAAATAGCACGTGTTCATGAGAGTGGCTTCTTATTTCGCTCATGAACGTGTTGCCATTCTCCACCAACTAGTCGACTGTGCAAAACGATTCATTCTTTTGATTTGTTGCGTTTTGAGCAGCCATTTTAGTAAAATAAAATGATTTTAAAATGACTATTCACACTGACTGTCTTTTTTTTACCTATTCATTCAGCAAAAATACATAAGTTGTTCACTTTCTGTCTGCAATTAATTTACTCGTTTTCTTTTTAAATTATTTTTCACTACAATTTTCAGAAATGGGAAGGAACTCTAGAAAAAATAAATCCAATCCGACTCATAAATCCGTTCAATATACTAATGTGAGTGACAATTTTTTTTAGGATTGTAATAGATTTATTAATTGTTTTTGCAGAAGCTTAAAATAGAGTCATTAGTTCAACAATTCGAGTCGTCAGTGATATTCCAACCGAAAACAAATACTTCTGATGTTATCGACGTTCAGGCTCAAATGCTGGTTTCAATTTTTATTTCAGCTTGAAAATGAGTGAAAATTATTTTCAGGCAAATTTGGAAATTACGGAAAATGGTAGTCGAGCCATTGCATCACAAGATGTTCCAACTAACATTCCTCGCCGACGCCGTCAACGCCGTCGACGTCGTCGAAAACAGAAACCGTGGGAGCCAAAAATGTCGATGATAGACGAAGAAAGGTTGACCCAGTCTCTAGGAAATCGATGCGAAGAAAAAGAAATTATTAGTGATGAGAAAATGGATGATGGTAAGATCAATTGAATTTTGAGGATAATTTAACACTTTATTCTAGGTTGCAAAACGGGCCCATGACTTTATGGATTTTACCGTTATCACTACAATTTTCTTGTGACAATCCGTCGTTTATTCAATTCAAAATCTGTATACATATTCAATCTGATTTGTTCTTGTTCGGTTAATCGACAATCATGTAATTATTTTCATTTTCGGTATCTTTTCCGGTTGTATTTCAGAAACCAATTTCTGTTTCTATGTAATGTGAAAATATTCAACATACTTCAACACAAATCTCGTGCAACACTTGGTTCAATAAATAAATTACTTCAGAATAATGCGAATTTGCAGAAATAAACAAAGCAAAAATCAGTTAAAAATTAATTATAATTAACCTTAAACACAAAGAGAAAAGAAACGAGGTAGGTTAATTTTTTCGTCCTGCTAGTATGAGTTTTGAGCGTTCTTTTTTGCCTCACAAAACATACCTACATATAATATAATGCGCGGTTTGCAAAAATGTAAATATTATAGGGTGTCCAAACTTGAAAATATCACAGATAGAGTAAAGTAAATAGTTGGTGACACATCTTCCACAATGTGCTAAATTATATTTAATGGAATCGAATTAGAAGAGAATTGCAAGGCAATGTGGCGTCGCATTGCCACACAAAACATAGAGGGGTGCGAAACCCCGATACTGTCGGCTGCACTCGTTGCATATGCATCGCACTGTCTCGCTACACTCGTTCAATATAAATTATCGCGGGCCTTCCATAAGACCCCGTAGCCAATTTTTGGGATCCCTAGCATTTGTTAGGGATATAAACGCTTTTATTTTAACGAAATTTATTGAAACGCATTTGTTAGGATGAAAATAATGTTAATTTTGTTGCGAAATGAATTTATTAATGAAATATTCAAAATAACTTATGGCAAGATATATGAATAAAGAAAATATAATTAAGATCTATATATAAATATAGGAACGTCTTGGATATGAGAAAGTGGGTGAGAATCTGGAAAATCATAAAGAATTTGATTGTTTTCAATAAGCATGGCGTGTCGCATTTGTGAATGGCCGGATTTTTGAATAATATTCGAGAAGGAATGTATTTGAAAAACGAAACGACTTTAAAGCAGATGGAAGCGAAACGATTTAACTTTTTTATTTAAATACACTGTGAGAACTGTAAAACTGAAATAAACGGCAATACCTATAAATTTTAATGCGCGGTCTGCAAAAAATGTTAATATTATAAGGCGTTGCGACATGATAATATTTAAAAAAAACCACACCGTGATTATCCCTTAGCTGTGAAATAATGCAAATTGCTTGGCTGGTAGTTGGTGACATATCTCATACAATGTGCAAACTATACAGTAATAAAATAATAACCCTTATTGATACTATTCTTAATACAATCGTATACCGTCTTTCAGGTACCAATAGAATCATTGTTATAAAAACTGAATTTTTAAGCGCAAGTAATGAAAAGGATTTGAACAATTTATAGTTGTGTTTCGAAGCTAAATTTTTATTGTAATAACTAATGCAAATAGAAAAATGTGCTGTAGTACATTGAGTCATAATTAAACTTCACAATTTTGTATCTGGGACCAAATTAGACGAGAATTAAAAGACAATGTGGCGTCGCATTGCCACACAAAACATAGAGGGGTGCGAAACCCCGAAACTGTCAGCTGCACTCGTTGCATATGCATCGCACTGTCTCGCTACACTCGTTCAATATAAATTATCGCGGGTCTTCCATAAGACCCCGTAGCCAATTTTTGGGATCCCTAGCATTTGTTAGGGATATAAACGTTTATAGTTTATCGAAAGCTGCTGAAACGCTTTTGTTAGGATAGAAATAATTTAAACTATGATGCGAAAAATTTATTCATTATGAACTAGGTAAGAATCAACGGTTATATATGTAGTATGTGATTCTGAACTATTTTTCTATCCACTAACTTGTTGAATTTTTCATTTTTTTTTTCCAGCTGTTAAATATCAGTGTGATGCAAAATAATCGAAATAGTTATTTTAGGGACTAACTTGACACGTTTTATTACATTGTGTCAAAATTAACAAGAAATTTTCTTACAATAAATATGTAGCTGCAAACATCAATATTAACTGAATATAATATATGAACAGGCTGCCTTCAATTTGTTTGAGAATAACGCTGGATTTTCCAGCAATAGCCGAATTATAGGAATATCAGAATCGTTTTGACAAATATATTTTTTATTGAATCTTTTAATTGATGAATGAACAATGTTACCCGATATACCTAACATATGAAGAAAGATTATATGTAAGTATTGAAAAATTGCAAAACATTTGGAGTTTTAGTGTGTCAATTTGCTAGAACATTAAATGAGTTTTGCTTTTTGCTGAAGCAATCTTGATCGATCCACTTTTCTGTACTCCGATTTTCCTTCGAACAACGTACCATTCAATGAACAATGCTGTAACCACCAAAGCTAAGCAAATAAGGAATAGATTCCTTGCCCATCTGAAATATAACGCTAGTGAGATTTTTTTTGAGAATGCGATAATATACAAGGGCACTGAATGATCTCTCTGTTCTCCATTGAGCTCATCGAATTCCTTCATTGCGTAGCCAACATCATCAACCAGGTCTTCGATCACTTTTGCCAATGGCCATCCTTGAACCAGTGCGTTATTTATTTCACTTTGAATATTGGATAGCGAAAATCGCAAGCGAGGAGCCCCTAAATGTCAAATTGAGGCATTCACATTTTCTAACTTGATTTACCAGTATGAAGCCGAACATAAGGAATTTTTCGGGCATCATTCACTACTCCATCAATCACGACCAACTGAAAACGATATTTTCTCGGTCCCTTTGAAAAGGTCACTTACTGCCAATAGATTCGCTTTTGAGCACCCTGCTGGAGCTCCAAACCAACGCTCGTAAACTTTCCATGAATAAACCTGAATAAATTTGAATATCATTGTAATAAACAAGGAAGTCATTGATTTGAATATTCATGCGTGATTTGAGTCCTGTGTTATGTGCGTATTAATAAGATTTCTGGAGTTCCCCCATCCCCGTTCTCTCAAAAGCCAATCCAACAAAAAATATAAAATAACGAATTCAATCCCAAGTTGCCGAATAATTGAGGTTGCATGCAACATAATAATCGTTTTCCGGGTGCCCTAATCGTTTCGCATCGTACCATTAAAAATTTCTTCACGTTTCCGACCATTGCGGTGACTATATCTCCGTCGATTTGATCACATTCATTGTCGAACAAACATGCGTATTCCGGCTTGTTCATTACATCGTTTACAGTGACAGGCTGCTCTAATTGTTTAGCTGAAATATCTGTAAGTCTACGGAGTGTCTCAAGTAAATATTGGATACCAATAATCACAGCCAATGTTGAAGCATTACCATTGGTAAACACGTATTTGTATCTGAAAACATTGGCAAAATTAGATTTGAGCAAATCAAGTTCCCGCAAAAGGAAACTATGTTGATGTTTGAAAACTTCGGTGATGTCAACTTATTTTGCATTTTTTTTTGCAAAGTATACCACAGAAAAAAAATATTTACACGATTCAATGTACGGTAAAAAATAAATAGATTTCTTTTCGACAAGGTTTGGGAATGTTAAATTGATTCCAGGTGTCTGAAAGCAGAGGCATCTGTGTACCCTGTATATTAGTGTACGTGCAGTTATAATTTATCCGGCGCGTAAATTTACGATTTTGTCGATTTACGCTGATTTTGCGAAATTGAATTACGCGCCACCGTCAGGTGGTTTGACGCCAACAAAAAATAGCATAAATTGATATATGCTACTATATTGAAAGTATGCGAGTAGCTTTTGGCGTGTCAACAGCTTCAAAGTTATTTGTGAAATATTCAGCGTTGCATATGTACATAATAAATGTTATACATAAAGTATACCATTAATTATTAACCATAAGTGTTTCACAATTAATCATTATATCTTAAAATTAATATATAGCACGTTTACATCACGATTCAAATTTCGCAAGTTCTGTAACGCTTCAATTATCAAAATTCACCTCTTGTATGCCTTTTCAATTCCAATCGTATTTGTGTGCGCTAGAGAATGATGAAGATCGCAAATGAATGGGAGACGGGACATTGTATTGCATGCTTGACGGTGCTGAAAATCATCGAATATTTCAGAAATATTTTTAGAGTTCAAATTTAAAACAGGAATGGGAGAAATTCGTGATTTAAAATGAAATACTCGATGATGATTTTTTTTTTCATTCTTTTGCAACACCCAAAAACTGCCGGATTTTTGCTTGGTGTAAATCGAATTATGCAAACTTTTCATTCTTCACACATTCCTCCCCGTTTAAAATATGCCGGGTTTCTTAATCCTTTAATTCGATTCCTTTTCATACTTTCTTTGACGTGAAATTGAAGAGGCGAACAACAACGCAGTCAGTCATTTCCTATGGATTAAACAAATATGTCTCTTTTTTTCCAGCTCGATAAAAATCACGAAACCGAAACCCGTTTTTTCGTCGCCTTCGCAAAATGAAATTTGAAGCACAGGAATTCAGCATTTTGCTCTTTTTTATCGGCATTCAAGCACAACAAAGAAGGAAAATTTTAACCTACGATCTTCGCGCAATTGCTTCCTCGCCGCGCATTCTTTATTCCTAGTGATTCATTTATTTACAAGAATGTAATTTCTGTGTTATGTATAAAGCAATTTTGGCGACACAATTTTTTTCCCATTGTTCACCTGCTCAATGCGTTTCCGTTAGAAACCCGACTAGAGCCCCGTCATTAAATTTAACAAAAACAACGTCAATAGAAATTCTTAGAAATAATGAAAATGTGTATTTTTACTACGATTTGTTGCCCGAATAATAAATCTTTTCCTTTTTGAAGCCAATTTTCCCATCTCTTGCCTCCGCCAATAATAAGCCACAGATCGTCTTACACAAACTTTTTGCATCAAATTTGTTTTCACTGGAATACTATGCTGGCGACAAACTTCCATTTCTTATTGTTGTTTTTATCCTCTTTTCTTTATTAATAAATAATGGAGAAGAAAAAAACGCATTAATATTAAAAACTGGGCTTCAGTAACTTCCTCCAAACAAACAATGTCTGGCAAAAAAATAATTCGCGCCGTGCACTTCATGCCTAATTTGGTACCGAAAAGCGAAAGAAGCAAAATCGTTTTTGCTCGGGGCATTCGAAAAAAAAACACCAAATTTTGTTCGGCAAACTTACATATCCCGGTTCGGTGATTGGCAAGGGGAATTGGCATGGCGAGAATATGGGATGCACGGGAATTTGTCCCGATGACACGCTAGCGATGATTTGAACAAATATCACTATTCGACTCATTCTATGCGCGTTGACATTGTTGATACTGCAACAATAAGAGGTTTTTACTATATATAGCTCTTGAACAGAAATGAAGAACAAGCACAGCAAAATATAGAAAAAAAAGACGAAGGGGAGATGGAGAAGCACTGGCCGAAACGCCTCGGTTTCTTTTCGTTGAGTCGCGCGAAATATTTGCCCCGCCCCTTCCTCCCCCCCCCATTTTGGAGCGACGACGGCGCTAGAAGTCGCCGTCGTCGTGCCAGCGGTGAACATTGGCATTGACGAACCATTTCCCTATGGGACCACCCATGCAGCCAATTCACCTCGTAGGGCCTTCGAGTCATTTTGTAATATTTTTTTTTGTCGTTGGCCCCGTCGGGTTTTTTTTCCAATTTACTCAACTCGGCTCGACTCGGTTGGCAAGGTGCAAGAAGAGGAATGTTGAAAAGCTGCGACTAGTTTTTATGGCTACCACTAAACTAAACGTTTTTTTTTTCCTCAAAAAAAATTTCTTCTTTTTCGTTTCACATCATAAAAGGATTGTGAAGGTATGCGAACCGAACATATAGATTGAGAAGAACACAATGGTTCGTGGTGTTTAAACTTCGAAAAAAGAACTACAAAATAGGGACAGAAGAAGGTGAAATTATTTTGAAAAAAGAGACGAAGCAGAGGGGGATTAGCATGAAGGGCACATTACTCAAAAATTCTTGCATTTTTTCTCATTGTTTTGACAGTTTTTCTTTGTTTTCCACCAATTGTCCCATGATTCCTAAATTTTAAATCCCCATATATTGTTGCTTTTTCAAGTGTTTTGCCCACTAAATTGTTGATGGAGAAGGGGTGTCGAGACAATCAAAAGAAAAATGAGAGGAAGCCGCACAAGAAAATGTTGTAAAGGTGTGAATGAACAAAATTTCAAACGAAATTTAAAAATAAATAAGGCTACTTAATAAAGACATTCATCAGTAAAACGTGAAACTCATATTTTTGAGGAAGTGAAAATTTTCGAGGAAAATGAGCAGCACTGAATCATTCTCGCAAATTAAAGAAACAAGATGAACTCCTAACAAGAAAATTGGTAGAGAAATATTTTCTCGGGATACTGTACACTGAAAATTAAATGTTTTAAAAGTGACTTTCAATGAGTCACTTTTTTTGCGATTCTGATAGAGTATTCCATTGAATTTTCTACCCCTCCTCTCCCCTTATTTTCTAAACAAAAACCTCACCTAAATTAGGTTTGCCGCTAACCAAAGTTCTCGTTTACATTTTGGGGGACCACACCGAAACTCCCAATTTTCCCATTATGTGTGCGTATGTGTTTTTTATTTTGCGAACAATGCCGCACGCATCTTCGAATAAATGTATTCTCCAGCCTGCATTGATTTCCCCGGGGGCATCCATTCCATAAGCGAAGGCATGATTTTGAAATTCCGCGCCGCCTCGATTCAGAGCTAGATAATTAAAACTGACAAACATCTGTTTGTTTTTTTTTTTCATCACAACTTGGTGTTTTTCTTCAATGAGAGAGAACCTGTCACATTTTGGTCGCGTGCTCTGAAGAAATAAGAAGAGTGAAGGACACTTGAAAATGCAAAAAAAGTGTATGCCATTGTTCTCAAGAATGCTCAAAAAAGAGGCCATCAAAGTAAAAATTTATGGTTTTCGCAAAAAAATATTCAATTACCTCGTAAACATTTGGAAATGTAAGCATTTAAATAATCGAACCGGTAATTATTTGTTTTTTTTTTTTTTCAATATTCGTTGTGCTTCGAGTTTTTTGCGATTATTCAAAACCTGGGATAGAATTTGTCAAATAAATAAATAAATAAACAAATCGTTAAATAAATATAACCGTACAATGCAGATTGGAAACGAATGTCTCATATTTGCTACCAATAAGGTTAGTGAAACAAATATGAAGTATTCCTATTCGGTTGAATGCGTTCGAGTAGTTCAAAAATGTTTTGGAACAAGTGGGAAAATTACTTTGCGGACAACAGAAGTGAAAAGAAATGGGGTTTTCTTGGGCAGTTCACAATTTTTTTTTTCTGGGAGGAAGGGGTAATTGAGTATTCCGCTCATTGACTCTTCTCACGTCAACTTTTCTTCTTCAGAAATGCATCTTGAGATATGTCGATTGCTGCTGGCGATTACGGTATTCCTTGGAGATCCGTTTGTCTCGTATATCGAGGTTGCTAGGTAGAAGGCGTTACAGGCGAATTGCGAGAAGTAGAGCATTTGAGCGATTGCTGGAAATTTTTTTTTGAATTCATAATAGCGTTTCAGATTGTAGCTGAAAAAATGTTCTTGAAATTTGTACACACGCGCACACTGCTTGAAAAAACCTTGATTGAAAAAGAAAATATGTGCACGCCAAATAAGCGAATATCTCATAGCTTTTAAACAAAAATTTGTTCTTACAGACAATTTGTTTTAGAATTCTCAACCTCCTCAATTTCTTAATGTCAGTTTAATTCTTTGAAATTTTCAACAATTTCGATTGCACCCGTGAATTGAATAAGGATAAAAAATAGTAGTTCAGAATCAAAGGAAAACACATAAGACTTACGTTCAATCGTATTTACAATGTCATGTTTCAAGCTCGAATCATCAATAGTTGCCCAAACCCGCAAAATATGGGAAGGAAGATTGAGAAGAAGATTGAGTACTGATATTATTATGGAACGGATAACCATAACCGTTTTTCTTCTGGGAAAGGGGCTTCGCCTTGAGAGAGCCTAAAAACAATGGGGCACTTCAGAAATACCACTGATTTTTTTTAAATTCTATATTTTACCTGAGTAGTTGCCGCAATTGAAAGTGCTAGTGCGACATTATTCTTGGTAACAATGGTTTGAATTTCTCCCGACTCGGAGAACCTTGAACAAAACTGCCATCTTTCTCAGAATTCAATTACCACAAACAAACCTTTTCGTGGCAGGACCACTAATTGCGTATCGCCGATCACGTCTGTCAAAACCTTCGTTCGAGAATGGCGAATAACAATGGACCAAAACAATGAAATCTAGCATTATGCGAAGCAGCGATGGAATCGCGTAGAATAGAAAAATGTCGCCCAAATGAGCAAACTAAAAATGCGGCAAAATATAATCTAATAGTTTTTTGGAGAAAGAACCTTGATATTCCGCGCGTCGATGTCGTCATGCTCGGAGCATCCTTTCTCTTGTTCACTCTCATGATAAGTGACGAATAACAATATCCAGGATTCAAATATGCAGATTGAAACTGCCAAAACTCTAAAACATTATTTAAATTTAAGATTAATTTCAAAGTATATTTAAGAAGTTGACTTAAAATTTCCAATTTTATGCTTACATGTTCAATTTATCATTTTACTACATCTATAAATCAATGAATCCAAATATAAATTAAAGCATGGGTCATGGAAAATAGAGATACCGTTAAATACATTGGGAACTTTCTTGAGATTTATTGATTTTTTAGTGAGTTTTGTTAGCTCTAATTCATCGATTATTCATTTTCTTTATACTTATATAGAATTCATGTCGTCATCGAGACAACACCTTACACTTTCCCAATATCAACATTCTGAATTCCGCTTCTTCGATAATATGTGATTATCTTTACAAATTAATAAATGATTGTCTTCAATTCTACAATACGCATTATAAGCCGTATTGAATATTATTCACGTGATTTTAAGTAAATTTCGCATAAAATTCAATTCATTAGAAAACAAGTCTTTTAACTCGATGTAGAGCTTACATGAATTTTAGTCCTAATCTATAGTAAATACTGTTTTTTAATATAGTTTTTTTTCCATATTTATTGTTAAATGTTTACTTTAACGCATTCCGAGGTTGTCTCCATATCGTTCGATACTTTATTGGATGAAAGACAGCTGTATAACGAAGCACTGAAAGTACTAGCCAACACCAAACAGAAAATGCAGAGGTAGTATGGATAAGGTAAACACCACCCTGAAAATGATTGCGTATCAAGAAGGGCAGCAGCAATTAACGCGTCAAACCTTGCAAATAGCAGTGAAAATAAATATGGGGACATTTTGCTTGGGAATGATGTGGATTATAACCTGTGTTAATAGACTAAGCAACGTTATCGAATCTCCAATCTGTAAATTCATATTTGACTTTTTTTTGTAAATTTGCTTTCGAATATGACTAGTAATGTGGGAAAAGATTACCGACATCGCCGCAAGCGGTAGACCAGAGGTTGTTTCAAACCGCACAACACTCTTTCTGAAATTATTGAGTTTTGGGGAACAACATTTTGGGGAATCGCCCTATTACCTGGCCACTTTGATAAGCCGAAAAAGGACATATCCGTTTAAAAGGATGCCAGCGCCCGGTACACAGAAATACATATAAAATACGACTGTCTGGAGTGTTGTCATATTTTAATAGAATATATGTCCAACTGAATCTGCCGGTAATTGTTCTTCAAAAGTGTGATTTCATTGCATAAAATGTCGGATATAGAGAGTTCTGGTGAGTTCCAATTTCCGTAGACATTCGATAAAAATAATCTGAGCAGACAAAAACATTTCGAAAACGCTTGAAATAGAAGAGTGCATCATTTGTCTTGGATTTCACCATGAACATCATGAAAGAAAAAAAGTGAAAACTCAGAAAAAGAAAGTCAAAATTCATGTTCTTTCAAAACGTTCCCCCTCCAACCTTTCCATTCGATGTTTCATCCCTTAAGAAGTGTGAATGACGATGGGAGGAAGAAGTAGCCAAAAAAATGAATATCTAGTTACATATAGAAGGCAAAAATAGGATGAATGCGATGGACACTTTGCGTGTTACAAGATAACTCATTTATCTTGAGCTGTCTATGTCAAAGATTGTTATATGAATTAATAAAATATCGAAGCAATGGAGCTTTAAAATTGGATTCTATAATAGAAATTAAAATGTACGTTTCCTTGAAAAAATTTATATCAGTCTTGTACTTAAGAAAGTATTAGATAAACGGAGCAAACATTTGCAAACGTTAGACATTTGGAAAGGTAAAAAACTTTAATTATAAGTAATGTTAAACAAAATTCATGAAAACTAATTTTAAAAGTGCAGTTTTTTGGTTTAGATCAATAAAAAATAAAATTCAAACTAAAAATACTTACAGAGAAAATCCAATATTTTATATTATAATTATTCGTGATTTGACATTTTTTGCAATTGCTCACAATTGATTCTAAAGGGTTATATCAAAATATCATCTTATAAGATCAATGAAAAAAAACGTTTTATATTTCAATAAATGTTGAATTAATGTAAAATTAGAACACAGTTGGTCTTCTGTTCGATTGGTTGTCTTAAAATTATAAGGATGTAGGAATATAAAAATGGAATCTACAAAACATGGAGTGGAATATATCGTCATGTGCAAATATGGATTTCAATAACTGTTGGAAAAAGGAAAATGCAAAAAATATAAAATATCTAGCTATTTTCTAAACAATGATACGTAGGAAATTGCCAATGATGTGATCAATTTGATCTATAATTGTTTGAAAGTGGAGAGAATTTATCGCTATGGTATCTGCAATAGATTTTTTTGTCTAGACAAGACTTGGAATAGGCATTTCGTAGTTCTTTATTATTAAGTAGTTCAATATTTTTTTAATTCCGAGTTTGATTTGAACAGTTCAGTGCACATATTATTATCGAAACTAGACAATTGGCTTCGGATAGTTTTTAACAAACCAAAATTGTCGGAAAAAACATAGCTGAGCAAATAGGAATGAAAATAATCATTCGAACGTGAGTTTCGCCAATGGATTTGTTCATTTGCTAAAAGAAAACGCAAGATTATCCAATTTGGCGAATATTATTTATTTAGAAGCATCCATTTGAACGTGATTGATTTTAAGTTTTTTTTTCGATTGCATGTCTAAAAGCCTCTTGGTTTAGAATCAACCAAAAAATTAATCATTCGGAGGTCTTTCGAAATATTAAAAAAAATCCAAAAAGGACTACGGAATAACGAGGAAAAAAATTGAAGTGGACAAGTGTCATGGAATTCTATAATGAATATGTAGATTGGGTATCACAATATTCATAAGTAGTGCGAAGGAAATGCGCATACAAATGTGTTTTCATCGAGAATTACCATATAGAATATAAGAAAATTGGCGAAAGCTACGTTCAAAAAGAATAATAAAAAGCGGCTTGTTTTGTTTTTGCCTTGAAGACTGTAATTAAGGTGCGCTTAATAACACACCACATGCCCGGAATGCCCTTTCTCAATAAATAATTTATTGTTTTTTTTATTAAAAAAATTAAGAAAAACGTAAGAAACTTGAAATTGAACATGCATTAAAAAAAACAATTCGCTTAGTTTCTCGCAATAGAGGGTTCTAGGCTGAAACTCCTAGTGAAGCTAATTTTATATTTATATCGCATTATTAGCTGTTTTAGGAATTTTATTCTAGACCTGCCTACGTGCGTGCGTTGAATTTGCTATATGAACATTTCAAACTATATTTGGTATGTCAAGTGCGGAACGTTTGAATAAATTTACGAAACTAGTTTGAGTGAAGATATTTTTCCGTGATTATAAGTACTACTAAAAATTAAGCTCAAACTCAAGATCTAGCTATCATTAACTTTACGACTATTCGATATGAGTGTATGCTTATATTCACTATAAGTATGCTTATTGGCAGTCATAATGTGTGTGAACTTTTCGAACATTTTTTGAGCTGCTTCAATGCTTAAAAAACTACAATTTCGATAAAAAATGGATTGTGGGAAATGTTATGAAATTGTGAAAATTTAAGCCTACAACAAAAAATTCTCTATTCAAGGATTTTTGGGAAAATGCGTTTTGTTCAAGAATTTTGATGCTGCAAAAACAATTGTAATTGAATACTTACCTCTAGAGGCGGTCTTAACATAAACGAAGATCACTTGGGAACCAAAAATCGGCGGCGTTTCGAAATTCACGTGACAGTTAAGACGGGCTTTTCACAAATTTTTTGACCATAATAACTCACATGCGTAGAGATCGAGCCACGTGCTATCAAGTGTCAACAGTTAACTAGTTATTAAACTCAATGTAAATATTAGAGTTAAAAAAAACGAAAATTAATTTTCAGTTTAAATGTTTTATATTCATGAGTTTATGCACTAGTAGAAATAAAGTATTTACCAAACGAAGAGCTAATTAATTTTTTGTTCTTATCAGCTCCAATCTTACGAATTATTTCAATTCGGTCCGATGTTTTTCGTTTTGTTTGTTATTAACAATATCTGCAAAAAGTACAAAAATTAAAAACAAAGCTGGAGACTAGAGAATTTTAAGATGAGCATCAAAAATGACGGAACAAAATGAATTTATGAAAACAACAAGGATTATAGAAAATGTCTGTGTAATTATTACCTTAGTGACGCGTGATCGATCGTGTGATTATAAGTTTTTTTTTTCAATGTGTAGCTACATAAAATTGCATAGTATTATTTTAATTTATATCTCATTTTAGGTTCCTTATAAATGAATTCCCAAAAAGAAGGTCAGAAACCAAGGAATAATGATTTGGGAAATTTGAATCATAAAAAATGGAAAGCAAAATATTTCCTCTCAAAGGCCAGTTGAAACAAAACTGGGTGGTATAAAACAGATAATCCCAATGTTTTCCAATTTCATACTCCACCTATTCTTTATTTATTTATTTTTTTTGCAAAATTCGTTCTTCTTCCTGGAATCGAATGAAAGTTTTTTTTTTTGCAGCAGCAACTCCACTGACTAGTCTTTGTTTTGACACCTCAAACTTGGGTAATTAAACCTTTTATTTAATAAACGAGGCAAGAATAAAATATAAGTAAGTTATAAAATCAACAAAAATACAAATAGAAAAAGCAATAGTTCATAGCGAGCCACAATGTTAATAATGATTGATCATCGTTGTAACAATCACAAATATTGCATCAATGGGCGTGTCTGAACAGTGCTAACGAGCACACTCCCCGGGCCTACGCTTAAGTGACTAATACACTTGAGTTGCAAAACACAATTAAAATTTAGAAACAAGAAGATAACAGAATTGGCAAAGTTCAAAATTAAAATCTAACATTGTATATGTAAGAACGATAAGTAACAACTATTATTCTTCAACCAATTTCGTAATGGCCTCCCGGCTTCAGAAAAAAAAACTTCATCAAAATTTGCGCCACTATTCACGATGTTTAAGTTAAAATTAGTGAAAGATAGATTTTTTTTTTACACAAAAGCATTATTATTGTTAAGCATACACATCAATTCACTCAAGAAAGTTTAAAAAAAAAACTTACGCAGTGTGGTCTTTGCGCTGTGTGGGCTTGCATTTGCGACAAATTTTGAAAGGAAGGCTGATAAGTTTCCAAAGAAGAGATTTGAACAAGTTGCACAAAAACATGTAGCTGCAGAGTATAATGACTATAACCGTAGCTATTGCGATGAAAACGTATTCCATGTATTGGAAGTATGTTTCCAAAAGGAACCAAAAATCTGGTAATTTCCATTCATCATAGATTTTTGTTTCTCCGTTCAGTATGCGGCTCATTGAACTCCAAACGTCGGCCTCAAAACGTAGGATTCCTTCCAAGTTGAATTGATTTATCGTCTTTCCGCCACAGTCGATCGTGCATTTTTCTGTAATCCTTGCTTTGTCAAAAAACATGTTCGCCGTATTTCTTTCGCCTGCCGGCGAGCATTTCACTGCGGCCCTGTGATTTCCACACTCCACATCTCCAGTCAATTGTTCCTTTAGTGAATGGCATTTTAAGGAAATTGTTGCTCCTTTGGCACAATTGTAGCAATCCGTCAGTTCGACGTTTGAAATTCTGCACTCATCGCTGTTTTTGACAATCATCAATTGAGAATCGTTTTCGATTTTCAACACAAGTTCAGCATTGTTTATTTCTGTCGATTTCATAATTGCAGTCCCTTCATCGTCAGTCTCCAATTTCCACAAGTTCCGTTGCAGTGGTAATTTTCTGTGAATGTCATGGTATTCCTCCCATGAGTTCTTGCATTTGCAATTCATTTGTGTTTCAGCTGGTACACATTTACAATTTTCTTCGAATTCACAGTTTAACAATTCTGCTTCTTTCAGTGATTTGCATCGTAGTTCTGGGAATTTCCCGTTCGTCCATAAACTTGTCGATTGGTTTCCTTTCATAAACCATTCGCTGTTGATCGATGATGTTGGAAGGCTCACTTCTTGTAGATGAATGGACATTTTTCCCAGTGTGCTGCCTGTTGCAAGTGTCACATTCCATTGTTTCTTGACATTTTTGAAGCTCCGCAACCGAGTTTCCGTGATTTTGAACACAATTTCATGCTTCCAATCGCATCTGTACAATTCCATGATTTCTTCGT